GTGTAATTTGCATGTTCTCTGTGTCATGGCTTCTCGAAATTATGCAAAATGTATGATTATTAGTGTGTTTGTGGACTGGCATCCTAACTAAACTGAATCTCCCATCTGAATACATCTTGAAATTGGAATCTGATCATTTCAATTATTAATCCTCTTCTTGCCAAAAGGTGCGGAGGGCTTCAACCATTTGCCCCCATCTTCTCCTGTCCTGGGCTACGTGTTCTACTTCACCTCATGTTTGGTCCATCTCCTTTCATGACAGTTTGCCTCCAGGTTGTTTTAGGCCGGCCTTGTTTACACTTTCCAGGTGGTGTTCATCTTAGGCCAAACCTTTGCTTTATGGTTCTGGTCCATTCTGAGGATGTCGGCAAGTCATCTTAAGCATCGGTGTTTGATCTCCAGCCCCAGGGACCTGATGGGCCACAACAACTGGCCCCGTAGCTCATACTCCTGAAGCACCACCCACAGGACTCACCGAGGGACATGATCATGTACACAAAACACATGTGGCCATAGAAAATATTGTGTAGAGTACACCCTCCCGGGGCACCGAAGAAGGTACATCTGGCCTGTAGACGTGTATCTGTGATCCTGGCGCTGGAAGACCTGAGAGCCACGTGAGAAATGCATGATGGAGGAAAAGTGGTCCGTGTCTTCGAATATGGCGAAAACCTTCCAGATTGACAGTGGTGTGACAGATGCCCTGATCTGACCTGCATGGGGTGAGGCTGACGGGGGAAAAATGGGAGGCTTTTCTGCCTAGTTATGTCCCTAGAGACAGAACTTGATTGTGAATTATTATATTGTATTGACTCAGTGGCCATTTTATTAGGTACACCAGGGTTGGACCCTTTTCTCCCTCCAGAGCCACGTTGAGGATTGATGAGTTATATGTCCAGAGAAGACTTTCTGCACACCACTTGTTCTTGCACTTCTGGCATTCCTGTTAACTCCATGTTCGTCACACTCATTTATGTAAACTCTAGTTATCATAATATGTGAAATACCCCAGGAGGGTACCTGTTTCTGAAATGATAAAACCATCTTTGGCACAAACAATCACACCACATTCAAAATCCATTAGATAACATGTCTTAGCCATTTATGAGCATGTAGGTTAACAAACAGGTGTAGCTTACAAACTGACCAGTGCTTGTATGTGTGAAGATAATGGAAAAACCCGCTTTAACTGTCGTCAGAACATATGGATAATTTCAAAAGGCAGGGACAATCAATTATTGATTGAAGGAGAGTTTAAATATTTGTTACAAACAGTGAAACTTTCAATATAGTTACATTTCTCAAATGTATTTATAGATATGGCAGGAGAATACGTGCTGCATCAGCGCATGCTCCCCAACCTGACCTGACCTGACCTGCAGGAGAATACGTGCTGTATCAGCGCATGCTCCCCAACCTGACCTGACCTGACCTGCAGGAGAATACGTGCTGTATCAGCGCATGCTCCCCAACCTGACCTGACCTGACCTGACCTGACCTGCC